GTTTCGTCGATATTCTTAAACCATGTGGCTATATGTGTTACAATCTTCGTACTGGCAGTTACCATCACGAAAATCATTGCCTTGGCTAATACGCAGGCAGCAGAGGGATGTCTCAGGATGATGAAATCCAGAATATCGCAATAGGAATCTGCGAGTGTTTGAGTGCTCTCATCCTGAACAGCAGCTATTAGACCGGACCGTAGCACATCGCAAGTTTTTTCAACCAGAATTTCCGAAGATGAAAAGTTTCGCAACAAATTCAATAAGAGTGGCAGGCACTGGCACAGTATGGTGTACACGACGTTCGTTTTAGGGCTTTTTTCGTCCGACTGGCTGCTTTCAACGAATTCAATATCATCTTTGGAGGCTTCGCTCCTTGGCTTTTGCGTAGCAATGAGGGCTGAAAGAACGGCAAGCTCAAAGACACATTCTTCCTCAAGGCTCTGCGTCGACTGGGAACTTGTCGCCATCCGGCCCTCAACAATCATTTGTAGTGCTCTGAGACGCGGTATCAGAATCTGATCTAAACTTTTAAGCATGTAATCGGTATCCTGCACTGCCAGTGATTGGCCCACACACCTCAGAGCATGAATGCGTAAATTTCGCGGATTCCCACTGTTCACGAAGTAGTTGTAACATTTTTGCATCACACGATCCAACACTGGCAGCGGTGAACTCCGATTCCCTGCATATGTTTCCAGGACTTTTAACGCGTTGCTCGTGCAACCAGTAACATCCATGAACATGAGCGCTAGTCCCATACAGAGTGTTTCTTGGTCATCCGCTGTTTTCCCAGTGCTAATGAGATGCTGCAGTGAATAAAGCAGATCCATCAAAGATTTTCCAAGTTGCTTTGCACCATTCTGTGACGCAACGAATTTCCAGGATAAAAGTACTGAGCAGTGTTCCAGAATCTGGCTTATTGCTGATGCATCGTTCTCGGACATGTGATCGGCTATTCGTTCCAGCAAGTACAAAACTGATTCCATTCTAAAATCATAATAATTAACTTGGGTTGTTCCTAAAACAAACCTTTCACCTTTGTTACTGCACAATAATTCGCTAGCATGTAAAATTTCCCATTTATACTATTTATTTAATTTCTTTCAATTTACATCCTTGTCATCTATATCCGTTTTACTCTTAATTGTACCCTTAATTATTTTGTTACCATAGCCGTCGTACTGACGAGGTCCAACTGTGGAATCGGTAAGAAATGTATGCGACTTAATGGTCCGAAACATTTCTTACCTAATTTAATACTTCTTTTTCACATCCTTCCTTTTCTATCATCCTTTTTTATATTTTTCAACAGCACTTACGCATTTTTCTTTTAACCTTAAATATGGAAATCTTTTCAAATAAGACGAATATCGTTTCATGTAAAAGCCGTACTGCTTCTTATCACTGCTCTCTGTGTACTACTACTCCACAGATGAGAAATATAAAAAATCAGGTAAACATGCACTTTGGAAACTGGAAATATGAACAGGCAGTTTGAATTAGGTCAGTAGAACCATTACCGAGTGATGT